TATCACCTCTTTAAATAATATTATTATAGAAGCAGCTTTAGAAAATATAGGAAAAACAAAACCATGTAAAAGGCAACCCGTACCTTGGTGGAATAGTGAAATTGCAAAAGCACTCTCATCTCGTAAACATGCCTTTAATAAACTTAAAAAAACATAATACAGACAAAAACTTACTCAATTTTAAAAAACTTAGAGCTGAATCAGATATCTATGAAAAAGGAAAAAGAAACTGGAAAGACTACGTATCGTCCATAAATTCATCAACACCTTCACAGGTTATTTGGTCTAAAATTCGGAAACTTAAAGGTACCAACTCCTTTAGGCATATCAATGCACTAACATATAATAATGAGATCATCACCTGTAAAAAAGCTATTGGTGAAACTTTAGCCGAAGTTTACCAAGAAAATTCTAGCGACCAAAATATAACGCCGGAATTCTTAATACATAAGCAAAATATAGAATCATTCGAAATCGTTGATAAAGAATCTGATGATCCATTAAATGCTAGCATAACTCTTCAAGAACTAGAATACTCTATTGTAAACTCCAAAAATACATCCCCAGGACAAGATGATATTCCACCAATATTCATAAAACATCTACCTTTCAGAGCAAAAATAATATTGTTGGATTTATTCAATACACGTTCTTTAAAACATAAATTTCCAAAACTTTGGTCTCAGGCAATAACTATTTCCATTATTAAACCCAATAAGCCCAAAGATATACCCTCATCGTACCGTCCTATTTCTCTCACATGCAGCATGTGCAAAATACTGGAAAAAATTTTAAATCTCCGTCTAACATGGTATTTAGAAACAAAAGATCTCCTTACCCCATTTCAGAGTGGTTTTCGCAAGGGACGGTCTACATTAGATAATCCTTTGCAAACAATCAGAAGTTGATTGCAATATTCTTTGACATAACCCAGGCTTTTGATAGGACATGGAGACACTTTATATTAGCAACACTTAATAATTATGGAATTCAAGGTAACATGCTTGCTTTTATAAAAAATTTCTTAAGAAATCGTTCTATACAAGTTAGAATAAATGGAATCAAAAGTTCTCCAAAAATGCTAGAAAATGGAATCACTCAAGGATCCATTCTAAGTCCAACCCTATTTTTAGTGGCTTTTAATAGCATCATAAATGTAATTAGAGCTCCTATTAAAGATAACATTTACGCGGATGATATTGTTATCTACACCAAATCTAATAACCTAGTTTCAGCAACAAATATATTACAACTTATGTTAAATCGACTTCAAAACTGGGCATTACAAACCGGATTCAATTTTTCTGCAGAAAAAACTCAATACGTAATTTTTAGTAAAAATAACACTCACCATACAATTAATTTAACATTAAATGATTTACCTATAAAACAGTCAACGGAAGTAAGTTTTTCAGGCCTAATTTTCGATAAAAAATTAAATCGGAATGTGCATATTAATAATATACAACAAGCATGCCAAAACCGGTAAAACATACTTAAAATATTATCTAATACATTTTGGGGTGCCGACTGTAAAACATTAATTAGGCTTTACAAGTTACTGATTAAAAGTAAATTAGATTAAGGTTGCATATCTTACGGTGCTGCCAGTAAAACTAAAAAAAAACTAAATAGCATACAATCTACAGCTTTGAGATTAGCGCTGGGTGCCTTCAGAACTAGCCTTATTAGTAGCTTACAAGTTTTAGCGAGAGAACCCCCTCTGTATATTAGACGCCAACAACTATCCCTAAACTGTATAGGCAAAATATCAGCACAGAAACAACATCCAGTATTTTCCAAAATTTGCCATCCTCATTAAGGTGAACGGCATACCAATTAGCAACCTACGCTATGCGGACGACACAGTGATTATAACTGATAATTTGGAAGATCAGCAGTTATTACTTGATAGGGTGAATAGCATAGGTAAAAAATATGGCCTCAAAATCAACATTTTGAAAACGAAATATATGGTCATTAGCAGAAACCCTCCAGAAAACCCGATATTATGCATAGGTGACAATCGTATAAATCGCGTAAAAACTTTTAAATACCTTGGCACCACAATAAATGACCAATGGGATCCACAACACGAGATAAAAACCCGAATACAAATGGCAAGACAAGCTTTTGTGAAATTCAGACCGCTCCTATGTAATCAACACCTAAACTTCGAAATACGCTACAGAATGGTCAAGTGCTACATATGGTCCATCTTGCTTTATGGCATGGAAACGTGGACTTTGAAAAAAACATCTATCAACAAACTTGAAGCATTTGAAATGTGGTCATTGAGAAGAATGATGCGCATACCTTGGGTGGATAGAGTTCGAAACGATGACGTCCTTAATAGAGCCGGCGTGAAAAGAGAACTCTTTGAATTAATTAAAAAAGGCAAGATTGGTTATCTTGAGCACATATTGAGAGGAGCAAAATATAAAATATCACAGTTAATCCTACAAGGGAAGATCGAAGGTAGGAGAGGAGCCGGCCGCAAACAATTGTCCTGGTTAAGGAATATTAAAGAATGGACAGGAATACACAATACAGGTGAGCTGTGTCACGCCGCCAAAAACAGAATTCTAGTAATGAGATAGTCGCCTACGCACTTTGGTGAATGGCATGTTAAGAAGAAGAAGCCATCCCAGTATTGTTTCTACAAAACTAACTAAAAATAGTACTCCCCTTATAGAACGAATAAAATACTCTAACTTTGACATGGATACGCTAAATCGATCTCGACAAGTCAGTGTAAATTTTCCTCCATGGACAATCCAACCACTAACCATTGACTTAACCCTCACAAAATACCCAAAATCAACTACAAATCCGATTTTCCTTAAACACTTGTACTCCGAAGTGATATCTCATTATCGTAATTATCTACAAATTTTCAGTGATGCCTCTAAACCTCATGACGGACATGCTGCTATTGTAAATACACCTCTCACACTATATCCATACCTACTATACGATCTCTACAGTCAGTGTAAATTTTCCTCCATGGACAATCCAACCACTAACCATTGACTTAACCCTCACAAAATACCCCAAATCAACTACAAATCCGATTTTCATTAAACACTTGTACTCCGAAGTGATATCTCATTATCCTAATTATCTCCAAATTTTCAGTGATGCCTCTAAAACTCATGACGGACATGCTGCTGCATACTATTGTAAATACACCTCTCACACTATATCCATACCTACTAACTGCTGCATCCTCACAGGCGAGACCACAGCCATTTTGGAAGCCTTAATTACCTTCAAAACGCATAGTGAAAATAAAGGTCTCATCATCACCGACTCATTAAATGCTCTATTAGGTGTAAAACAAATATAAAATACAATACAATATTTCGGGCTATAAAAATACGATAAATATAATTTAATCAAAATGAAAAGAGGTAGCATTTATCTGGGTACCGTCGCATGTAGGAATAGCTGGAAATGAAAAAGTGGATAGACTAGCAAACACAAGTGCAATAAACTCACAATACACAAACAAATCAAGAAATTACCCATACTCCGATCTCAAAAACCTAATTAAAGACCACTGTATGCACATATGGCAAGACTACTGGAAAGATTCAGGAACCAAACTATATGAGATTTATCCCCTTGTGAAGACCATCTTAAATAATCCATCCAATAGAAGGGACCAAGTAATCATTAACCGACTAAGAATTGTACACACTGCACTGAACCATAAATTCTTAATCAACAGATAATCTTCTCAAACCTGCAGAAACTGTTCTCTTCAATTGACAGTGAAGCATATTCTGATTGACTGCCAGTACCACGAAGAAACAAGAAGAAAATATGGAATATCAGATCACATCAAAACCACATTAACCATAAACACTGACCATGTAATAAATTATTTAAAAGATTTACGTTTATATACATCTATTTAATGTAAATAAAATGAATTCTTGTGTATGTTACTCCACTAATAACCCTGCGTGGTTGATGTGGATTATATGTTAAAATAAAAAAAAATACATCTTAACTATAAAAATAGTAAACTAAAAAGTTTAGACATATTTTTGCCATATAACCAGTTTTATTGATTTTTAAAATAATAAACATTAAAAGCAGTTCTCTTAATTATAAAGTTAAGTTAGTACCATCTTTCTATATGAGAGACTCTAAAATACAAGCCCATGGGACAATTTTAATGGGACGTTTGACCCAGCATGAATTAATACTAAAATATATAATAAAACTTTAGAAACTATGTCGCTAATGTTTACCTATCGGTACGCAAAGCATGGGGGTTCAAATTATAGGTTGCGCCTTAGATTTCTCACCCCTGTGTCAGCCAAAATATAGGGCGTTGGAAAAAAATTAATCAATATGTTGATTCGAAACTTGTCTATAATTACCGTACTGTATCAAATTACTGAAAATGCAGAAAACATTTTCCGACAATGAAAAAATATCCCTGCACCTGATACCAATATTTTTTTTCGGCATTATATCGCAGGTCATTAATTTTGTATTACCTACCTAAGTTATAAATGCCGTACAAAAAGTTGGGCCAAAAAACGTATCTCTCAGGGGGTAAGTTTATCTTACCTGTGAGTCTCATGTATCCGATAAGAATTGATGGCTTAGTTTCTAAAGTTGTTATTAAATATTGTAGTAATGTTTGATATGTGATTGGTAGTAGGTCTAATGACCCATTAATAATCTCCCATGGCTTGTTGACTATAATATTCAGCTTAACGGGGTGTTACTGTTCTAGGTGTAAAAATATATTATAAACAAGGGATCCGTTGTTTATGAAATTTGTAGATGGATTGGCTATATTGATTTCGACGTCACAAAATAATGTACATTTAGACTAGCTAAAATGTTAACTACTAATACACTCACAAATGTTTATTCGATATTTGTTTATAATTTTTACTTTAAGATAGCTTTAAATCAGTTTTAAAACAGAAATGTTTTATACAATTAAATTATTAATATATTATAAACTTACTTACCCTGTCATGCTAACATCCAATTTTGAAACAACAAGCTACTTAAATATTTTAACGTTATAGTTACGTCTTTATTATCTAATAAATTTCTTGTTCGGCCACAGACCACTCTCTCCTTTACTTTCATCGTGAATGCTGATAAAGTTACAAAATAATAAACAGCACTTGATTCCATTCTTTCACTTTTTTGTTATAAGACAAACGCGCATTTTATACGAGGTACAGTTGAAAGGTATAGCTTTATTACAATTTTTATTTAAGATGATTTTTTGTAAATTATTTAAGGTTATGTACATTTTATTTTTATTGCGAATGTATCGCTTGGTTAATTTTAACTCAGGTCATTATTTCGTACCAACAAAACTTGGCGACAATGCACCATGGATAGATAAACGACATACAAAATGAATATAGAACTATTTAAGAATTTACCAAAGAAACAATAATAGTATTTTTTATATAAAAATGCGTGCACGTCATTCAAGATTTACGAGGTCAGAACCCCACAGCGTTGACAAAACATCAGAATACTTAGAAGAAGTGAGTGATAGAAGTAAGGAATTTTTAAAATGTCAACTATTTGTCAAACTGTTAATATAATGTTTAATAAATAAAGTTTTAAGACTACTGCAACACACTAAAATACATAAGAAAACATTTTAATACAAAATTATATACATATTCTAAATTTAAACTTACCTCTTTTAGAGCATTAATGTAATAGTAAAAACGTCCCGCCATTATTTCTTGTTTAAAATAATCTATCTTATATATAAGCTTATCAGCTTTCTACAGACTATTTAGTTGTTTTGGTATACCACAATCACAATACACAACAATATTTAGTTTTTAAGGCTATTAATCTAAATTTTTGGGGTGTAGAGTTGTGTTATAGAGGTTGCACCTTTTATCGGAAGGACCACATCGAGCGAGCATAAGACAACTAACTCTCAGTTATGGCTCCACGTGCCACACCCCGGGTAACTGCATTGGTCTGCAGACTAAACTAAGTGAAGGTAGCCAGATATGGCGAACTCCCCACTTACTGACCAACGGCTTCCGGCTTCGAGCGGATGAGTTGGTAGGTGGTAGGGCACTCTTTTGTCCTAAGATTGAGAAATCGATCTCGAAGGCGGATGAACCAAGGTCAACGGCATAAGGATACAGAAGGCAACGGGGAACTACTATATTAAAGACTCGTAGAGTACCCCTAGTATAAATCATCATGGCAAAGAATAGCGATTATTTGGAAGTTACTGATCATGGTCATCGGAAACCAAGATCCGACAGGAGGGGAGATTCAATAAGTTGCAGGGCTCCTCCGGTCGTTGACCTGCAAAACCCCTGCAAAATGCATAATACATCGATCCGTATTGCCACATGAAATGTGAGATGGCTATTTGAAGCTGGAAAACTACACAATGCTAGTCAAGAGATGTGTCGGTTAGAGATCAGTATTCTAGGACTCAGCGAAGTCAGATGGACAAATGCAGGTCAATGCGTCACCCCAAACGGTACCATATATTTTTCAGGACGAAATGACAATCATCACAGTAATTGAGTGGCAATAATGATCACCAAGGAAATAAGTAAGTCGATTATAAACTTTGTACCATTGTCAGATAGAGTTATATTTCTACAGCTATCAACCATTCAGGGAAAACTAAATATAGTTCAAATATATGCTCCTACAGCGGAGAGTAGTGAAGAAGACACAGAAGAATTTTGTAAAACCATTGAACAAACACTGAAAGTTGTTAAGTCTAGAGACATTACAATAATAATGGGAGATTAGAATTCGAAAATTGGGAACGCAGAATGTGGCAAATGGGTTGGAAAATATGGTCTCGGCCAAAGAAATAAAAGAGGTGATCGGCTGTTGCAATTTTGCCAGGAAAATAATTTTATAATTAAAAACAAATTTTATAAGGTACATAAAATTAACAAAAGATCCAACAAAGCCTTTGGAAAACAAAATATATAGAACTTTATTCAAGTTTAAAGATTTTTTAACAAGTTATCAGAGAGGATTAATTACACCTCATTACAGTAAGACTTCTTATTTTAATGGAGTACCGAAAATTCTTAAAACGAATATACCACTTAGACCCATTTGTAGTACCATGAATTCTCCTTGTAGTGAACTAGCAAAATTTTTATTAAATATTTTAAAACCATTTACAAATAAGAATGACACATTCATAAAAAATTCACAACATTTTTTAAATAAATTATCAAATATTGAATTTAATTCAAATAATACTTTAGTAGTTTTGGCATAAATAGTTTATTTACGAATGTGCCATTAAATAAGACTTTATGTATAGTCAAGACAAAATTAGAGAGTGATGATTCATTGGCAACCAGAACCAGACTAAACATATCGGCTATAATGGAGTTATTAACATTATGTACTGATAATACACATTTTCAACTAAATAACGAATTCTCTAAACAAAATTTTGGTCTAGCAATGGGCTCTAGTTTATCTTAAATCTTAGCCGATATATTTATGGATGATTTTGAAACGAATATCATTTCTAAACAAAATTTAAAACCCACAGTATGGTGGAGGTATGTAGATGATGTATTCTCAATATGACCTCATGGATCAGAGTTGTTGGACACATTCCTAAATGATATAAACGATAAAGAAGAGACAATAACATTTACAATGGAAAAGGAATATAATAACACGCTACCTTTCCTTAATGTTTTAATCTCTAAGAACGATACTGGAAATGAGACTCATGTGTATAGAAAACCAACACATACCAATAGATATTTAAATTTCAAATCAAATCACAATATTAATGTAAAAAAGGGAATAATTAAATCCTTATACGATAGAGCCAAAATTACTTGTTCTAACGAAAATTCGTTCTTGGGGGAGAAACATGTGTTAACATCTGTTTTATTAAAAAATGATTATCCTTTATCGTTTATAAATAAGGAATTTTCAACAATCGATCGAATAGAACAGAACATTTTAGAACGAGATCCTACAGCATAGACAAGGAATAATACGAGGAAAATAACAATACCGTACATAAAAGGATTATCAGAAAAACTTAAAAGGATAGGCAATAAATTCAACATTTCAACAACATTCAAAACAACAAACACGTTGAGATCTATTTTGTCCAAAACCAAACCTAACAATGAACAAGATAGGACAAAGAATTGCATTTATAAAATACCTTGTGAATGCGATCAGTTTTATTTAGGTGAAACATCAAGGCCATTAAATGTTAGAATAAGTGAACATCAGTCTTATATTAAAAATAGAGAATTTGATAGATCTTAAATATGTAAACACGCATGGGATAATGAACATAGGGTTCAATGGAATAATTCAAATGTAGTCCTAAAAGAGACGGATGGTAAAAAAAGAAAAATCAAAGAAGCGGCTTTAATTATGCTAAATGAGACCAATTGTGTCGCAAATTCCTCGGCAGAATGTAGTAGGATCTGGTTACCAATATTGAAAGAAGAAGTCATTAATAAGAAAATACCAGTATTAGTAAGTCAGTAACATATGGAGGATACATCATTTATGTTTTTTAAATAACGAAACATATAAAATCAGAATTTTGGTGTTTATTGAAGGTAAACTAAATGCACGAACAAATACTTACCATGTCAGGATAGTATTATGAGGTTTTTTTCCTGTTTTTTCGCTCATAATTTACTATGGAATCACTAACAGGAGAATTTTACTGTCATCATGTCATGTGTTCGTCTTTTTAAAGACGAATTATATGCTATGATTTTTTCTGACGAATATTCTCAAGTTAAAGTTGATTTCATGTAATCGAATGAACTATCTTATAAGTAAAGTCGTCCCAGGTGCGCAACTCAACAATATTGGCAATATCATTTTAAAGTCGTCTTATTTAAAATGCATAATGTATGTCTGAATTGTCAATATAAATGAGTCAGATAAAATTAAATTATTAGAAGAATTTTTCACTATGTAACAAAAAACAAAATTTGTTTAATTTACTGTTTGTATTTTGAGAACGATTTCCGAAGTGGAAATTGAAACGTCAATAAACGTATTTTTATCTTTAATTGTGGCTTATTCCCAGTTAAATAGTAATTAATTGGCAGATATACATAGAAGAACTGTTTGACGATCAAAGGCAGCCTCCTTGTGATAATTTTCCAGAGGAGACAGGTCCAGAAATAAGCAAAGAAGAAGTAATGCAAGCGGCGAAGTCATTAAAGAATAGCAAAGCTCCAGGACCAGATGAGCTACCAGCGAATATACTAAAGTTAATAGACGAAGATTGAATCTATTTGTTAGTAGACTTATTTAACAAGATTTATGAAAACAGTATAATTCCTTAAGATTGGCTAAGATCAACCTTTGTCTCTTTTCCCAAGAAGGCACATGCTAAGCAGTGCAGTGATAATCGCACGATCAGTCTGATGAGCCATACCTTAAAAATATTCCTTAAAATAATATCACAATAGAATTTACAGAAAATTAGAAGAAGATATCGGAGAAACTCAGTTTAGATTCTTCCGGAAGGGATATGGAACTCGCGAAGCATTATTTGCCTTTAACATCTTGACACAGAGGTGTTTGGATGTGAATCAAGATGTATTTGCTTGTTTCATTGATTACAACAAGGCGTTTGATAACGTCAAGCATGACCAACTTTTAGAGATCTTGAAAGCTAAACAGTTAGACACTCGCGATATAAGAATAATATCTACTCTGTATTATAATCAGAAGGCAGTTGCACGCATCGAAAATAGCACAACAAATGAAATTCAAATTAAAAACGGAGTTAGACAAGGATGTGTGCTGTCACCAATGCTATTTAATCTCTATTCGGAAGAAATTATGAAGAAAGCATTAGAGGAAAAAGAGATTGGGATAAAAGTTAACGGCCAACCAATTAATAATATTAGATACGCAGATGATACGGTTTTAATGGTGAAGACAGTAGAAAACCTGCAAACCATTTTAAACAAGGTAGTCACAGCAAGTGAAGAGAAATTGTTAACAATAAATGTCTAGAAGACAAAATTCATGATTATTTAAAAAAAAACAAAGATTGAATGCAAACCTGTAGATTCAAAATATCGAAATCGAACGGGTGCACAAATATAAATACTTGGAAA